CAGTGTTGATTGGTTCACGCCTCTAAACGATTGTCAACTGATCAGTTATAGTTAGTGGTATGCTTTAGTAATATTTATATATGGTAGAAACAGCTTGACTTTTATTAGCGAGTAGTTGTCGCAAATAGTTGTCTGATGTTGATTTATTTAAGAAATTATGAAATCACTCCGACTTCTGCTTGAAAAATTTATTTCGTAAACGTTTGAAGGTTGATGTAATTACTGGTGGTTCATAATATCATTTCAAGAAGTCACAGTCGAAGGAGTATGTTGTACACGGAGTGTAATGTAGTTGATTTTTAGAAACAATGCTGAATCATTTCTTAATTGATGGATAAAGTTGTGGGTTTGAGTGAAGGTTGATTGACTGACGCAATTCGTCGATTTGAACTTATTCATCTGAAATTTATCAACAACGGTGATTCATTCATTGCGATTAAGTTTATCAGCTGTTCATCTATGAAAGTTAGGTATTGTGTCGTTCATTTGGGATCAATTTTTGAGAAAGCATATCGTGGTGTTAAGCAAAGAACTTGAAACAATGTTATTGTATTTTGAAACTATCTTCGGATAGTTTAATAGCTTGAATCGATCTAAAATTTGTTTCTTGGAACTAGTTTATAGAGGAGAATCACGATGTGCTATCTAGTTTTAGGCCAGATTCTTCAGAATGATTATTATTCATCGTTGTAAAATGTGGACAGTCAAGAATTTTGCTAAGGAATGACAACTGCGGTTGCAAAGTAATAAAATTCACATAAAATTACCGTAAATGGATAAGCCATTACTGTATGTGGATGTGTTTTCGCCCACTGACCGCTAACTCAACGCTGATTGGTCAATGGATACTGTAGCAAAAAGTGAAAAGGAAAGATGTGTTACGGTATTGAGTGGTGCAGAAGAGCAATAAATCGCTCGTTCAGGTGTGAGCATATTCGATGCAAATTTGTCGAACGGACTACATTAACAACCTTATGATTATAACTGTCAGCAATGGCGACCGTTGGTATCGGTACACAGTCAAATACCGAATTGGGCGCGGGCGCCGCAAACAGATTACCGAGAATTTCGGCGATTTCGGCGACGACTTGAGACTTTCGGCCACGCATACTGTGAGGAAAGGCCAAGCAATGGATACACTTCATGGAACAATGATGATAATTATTATCAATATTCCATGAAAATGAGTGAATAATCGCAGTCATTGTCCGCAAGTCCAATTAATTTGGTAGTGTTTCATTGTTTGTGTACGCTGCAGCAAAAAGATTCACCCGATCGTGATGAGCTACTGCAACTGCACGATTGGTATTTCTTAGTTTTTGGACGATTTGGGGATGGCCTTCGGTAGTGTTGCTCCTTCAGAATTTTGTTTCGATTGATCTTATTGACATTCTTGCCACGCTTCTTGAACTCAGTTGCTTGACCATGTTTATGATGTTTATCGCCTTTCTGAACCATCTGAAAAGTTAATTCTGAAAATATTTATTGAATCCACTTTAGATTCTTCCCAAGTAATTTTCT